GTCCTGGGATACACTGACGGAAAATTCGACAGTCGCAGGAAGACTGGTCACAGGATGAGGTGTTAGAGAAGACTGCGGATGGTTAGCCGATTGACTTGAAATTTAATTCCATTCAAAGAGAATCCCGAAACCGCAAGCCTCTAATATCTCAAAATCGCTAGAGTGGTGCCAGGCAATTTAGTTAAACTGTAACACAGTACTAAAATTTATAATAGCCCGAAAATAATAGTTTTGAGGCTAATTTTAGCTTAGGCCACTAACGAACTCTGTGAAAGCAAAAGGTTGAATTTTAGCGAGAACCTTAAAACTAAACTATTTTCGACGTTTTGGTGGAAGTAGTAAAGATATGGTGGTACGGGTAGTAAGGGGGTGAGTGATGGTATTGATGAGTGATGGTATTGATGGTTATGGGAGTGGTACAGCAGGTGGACAGGGTTCGTGATGATGGTGAGGTGAGAATGATCGACGTGATGATGGTGGTAGAAGCACTGTGATAACAGGTTTTGTGGTGATAGTGGTGGAAAGGATGTGGAGGTGCGATTGATAGAGGTGGTATGAATAACGATGATGGTTGAGGGGAGGGTGGTGGAGGTGATGGTGTGGTGGTGGGGTGCTGAGAAAACTTTTGGGTATAAGCCCAATAAAATGATTCAAAGCCGACTAAAACTATCCACATGCATAGTTTTATATTCTTTAATGAATATCAAAAGATGACAAGCATGCAACCCATCAACAAATTTGCTTGGTGCTGCCGTTAATAAATGCGACCCGTTTTCATTGCGCCTAAACAACGCAGGAGTCGCAACTTTCACGTCTGTCCAACCAATGCATCAGGAATAATAAAATGTGAAGTCATGAAACGCACCTAACGCTTAAAAATGATAAATATTCGATGCCGCCAAGTGCCTATAAAAACGAAGTCAAGACGCACAACGTGGCGGAGATTGTACGAAGCTGGTAAGAGGCCAATTGCAACAGATCTTATATTGATGAATGCTACGTTTATGTTATACAACAGAAACACGATGACCTACCTTAAGTAGTAACAATCATCTGATAAATGCCGGCACATGACTGATCCCGTTGCTACACACAAGGAAGGACAACCGCGGCAAAGTCTTCGTCGTAATCACAGCGGCCAGAGCTTCCCAGCGTACCGCACACGACGTAAATTTCCGAGCGCGGCCACATCCACGTCCTCAGTCCTGACTGCACTTGGCAGCGTCTTCTAAGGAACATGAAAAACAACGGTGGAAACGAGATAAGTTCTCCAATGGAGGGTGAAGTTAGTCAGTGGAAGCCACGTTAATCCCACTCTAATTGTTAATTCTAGAGCTACTACATAAGCTACGCACAGAGTAAGCTCTAATTTACAACGATGACCAAGACTTCACTTGAAATTGAAAACCAAACCTCAATTTTTTAACTAAAAGAAGGTGGGGTGAAGAGGGCAATGTTGGTCAACTTGCGCCTCAACTTCAGCGCATTTTGCTCCGAGCCGCGGTCAGAGTACAGACTCTTCGTGACGGGTCACTGTCCGTGGTAGGACCGAGGCTCTCTAATACCTTGCCAAAAGCGCTGAGTGGAGGGGAGTTCACCCCTGCAACATTCAAGAGACGACTGGACAATTGGTTGAGAAAGATCTCGGATTGTCCAGTAATGGAAAACTACCCTCAGCAAGTGACAAGCAACAGCATCTTGCATCAGCTGGCCCAAAGGAGGGCAAATATACGGAACACGTGCAACGTTACATCCGGCACCCGAGGGCGGGGTGGCCTGCCTAGCGAAGACTCCGAGACGGAGGACGACGAAGGCGGCGCATCAGCGTGACCTTGGACAACGAAGTCCTAAACTTATCATAAGGTCATAAGGCTCCTTAACTTCAGCGCGTTTGCATGGCTCCTGAACTTCGACGCGCGTCATAACAGGAGCCGCAACGATGGTTTCCAAAGGCTCGGGGCCCTGAGTTCCTGCGGCAATGATAATATAACTCATCTCTCGTAATAAAAGCATTACAACCTTGACCTCCATGTTTATTCTCTCATAGAAAATGCATTACAACCCTGACCTGACCATGCCGCTACACTAAAAGCATTACAACGTAAGTCTCGCTGTTTAAGGCGCACAATGCGTTACCAAACAACCGCCTCTCACTGTGCTGGCGTATCCATGCTACCGCGGCTCACTGTGCAGGCGTATCCATGCTACCGCTGCTCACTGTGCTGGCGTATCCAATCCATGCTATCGCCGCTCACTGTGCAGGCGTATCCATGCTACCGCTGCTCACTGTGCTGGCGTATCCATTGCTGCTGCTGTTACTGCTGCTGCTGCTGCTACTAGTGGTGGTGCTGCTGCTGCTGCCGCCGCTGTTGTTGTTGTTGTTGTTGCTGCTGCTGCTGCTGCTGTTACTGCTACTGATGGTGGTGGTGCTGCTGCTGCCGCTGTTGTTGTTGCTGTTTCTGGTGCTGCTGCTGTTACTGCTGCTACTGGTGGTGCTGCTGCTGCTGCCGCTGTTACTGCTGCTGCTGCTGCTGGTGGTGGTGGTGCTGCTGCTGCGGCAACGACGGCTGCCGCAGCTCTTACCTCCCTGGAGTTTCCGCCAATTTCCCAAATTTCACGGCGAACGCGAAACTTTCTTCCCAACCATCGTCTCACTTTCAACCTCCCTAGGCAGCCAGGCTCAGGTTGTTCCCAAGGGACCGAACTCTCGACACGGAGAATACGAATCTATAAGGCGACCTAAACCCGGGAAGTCCTAGGCAGCACAGGCAGATCTAGGCAGCACAGGCAGATCTAGGCAGCACAGGCAGGCCTAGACAGCACAAGTAGGTCTAGGTAGCACAGGCAGTCCTAGGCAGGTCTAGGCAGCACAGGCAGGTCTAGGCAGCACAGAGAGTCAGTCCTAGGCAGCACAGGCAGGCCTAGGCAACTCTCAACATAAACATGCACAGCTACACTTCAAACTCAGAGCTACGAAATCGCAGACCGCGCCAGCAACACTGCAAGCCACACCAGCCATAGCGCCGTATGTCCACAGTCATTCCTCATATAACAAAATATATAGTGGGTTGAACGTTTATTAGGCCGTAGGCCTGTCGCCGATTCTTAACATTGCAGAACATCCACAGCTTGTCGCGGGCTTGAACTCGCAACTCACTGCTTCAAGTTATCTCTGCTTAACCGCCCGGCCTCCTCGCCGATTCTGACCAGAAACAGGCACACAGAGCTGGGATCGAACCCGCACCTCTCTGCTCCAATCTTGGGTGAAGAGTCGGGGTAAGTGTGAAGGTTAGTATATCCTGGGGTTGCACATCTATGAAGACTATACTGGCTTGAGCATTGTCTGTGGCCTTACTTAAATTCATAGGCAAGTCTACTGTATACCAGCGTGCTTCACCACGGATAGAAATATGAACTTGAGCTCAAAGTTGGGACTTGCTGGCCTCCAGCCCGCACCCCGTCTGAGCATCGCGCAGCGGGATGCGGTGAAAGCAGCGGTACCGTTAGATGCAAACGTCACGGTCGTCGGTACCGGCCCAGCACCGCGTCGCCACAAGTACTGCTGAAGTTGCACGTGATGTCATAAGTTCTACATGATGCATACTAAATTTGGATTCGCTTTAAATATCACCAGACTGAACAGAAGGAAATATAACGGTGTCTTTAACGGAGCATGAGGATTCCAGGCAAAGTTGCAGACGCGCCGTAACCCGTCGGCACCGCGCCAGCACAGCAGGCCACCGTCAGCAGGCAAGACGGTGCCGACTGCCGACAGTCGTCACTCGTACTCCAGCGTCAGTGTCGCGCTGGCAGCAAGTGAGGAAGGTTGTGTTGTCTGTTCGTCTTTTGCGTGGCTTCCTGCGAAGAATAACGGTGAGATCTCCACACGATCAGCGGTGTATCTCCACACGATCAGCGGTGTGATCTCCACACGATCAGCGGTGAGATCTCCACACGATCAGCAGTGTGATCTCCACACGATCAGCGGTGTGATCTCCACACGATCAGCGGTGTGATCTCCACACGATCAGCGGTGTGATCTCCACACGATCAGCGGTGTGATCTCCACACGATCAGC